ATATCAGTTCATAATTCTAAAATAAATTGAGTATTAGACTTAAACAATTAAACCTAATTTCATGCAAAAAGCTCATCATCATGCAAAAAATTTGAACAATAATTGTCAATAATTGCAAAAATTGTCAATAATTGCAAAAAATTGCAAAAATTCAATTATCAATAATTAAATAATTGTAATAATTGCAAAAATTAAAAATTGAAATAATTGCAAAAAATTACCAATAATTACAAAAATTCAATTCTGTAGTGGAAACGAAACAAAATTCGTCATTTTCCAGGATTCCGGAAATGAGAAATAATCTTGAAAATCTCGAAAATGAAAATAGTTTGAAAAAATTTGCGTCATTTCATGTAATTTCTTGATCACTTTTCATCATATTCTCATTTTATTTGTCTTCTCGTCAAAAAAAAATTTACTTATTTTGAATTTCCAAATTTTACATTTTCTTTTTGTAATTGCTTCTTTAATTGAATAACTCATTCCTATAGAATTTGTAAAATATATTTCATAAGTCTAAAATTGATTATGGTTTTAGCAATTTTAATGAATTAATCTTGTTGTTAAGAAATTAAACTGAATAAATGTTGTTGTTAATATGGTGACAAAGAAAAATATTTAATTGACGAATCAGAAACTAAAAAAATAAGACAGAGCAAAGAAATTAATCAAAGTTCTAAAATTAAAAAACAATCATGCAAAAATAAATGTCGCAAAAACGACAACAATTTGACATGGAAAAAAAAAACAGACGACATGTATGTTTCAGCGATTTTTAAGCTCTTCTTGAAAAATAAATAATTTTTTAAACGAAAGACAAATGAAACTCTTATCATACTGCGATGTTTAGAAAATTGCGTTGATAATTGTTCGGAATTTTCCGCATTCTGAAGGATAAAACCTACAGTATCTGAGACAAAATTTATATGTTAGGTATTTAATAGCTTATTCGAAAAATGAAATTTCCGATCAATAGAAGGATGAAAAAAAATGTACAGTAATCTAGTCAAAAAATATACAGTAATCTCTTCCTGTCGAAGTGCCAATGCAATAATTTTTGCAAATTAATTAATTAACTGAATCATTCAAAATTTTGAA